TCCATGGAACTTATCGAGAGAGACGTGCTTGGAAACCTGGAGAACTGTAGCAACATCCAAGATGCTACTAGTCTCTTGGTGGTATCTCAAATCGTCGGCTCCATCTCACTTTATGACAAAGCTAAAAGCGTGCTCGTCGAACAAGAAGCTAACATGACTTTAGAAGACGCCGAAAAGATAGGAGTACGCGCTACATATGAAATATTGATAGCTCGTAACAACAAGCCTGGCAGCAAAGCCAATACATGTCCTCGCTGCTTTCCTCATTTCCGACCTACAAGATGGTGCAATATATGCCAACGTGGCTACCAATAGCATTTGCTCATGTAACGTAATATCGGTACAGTGGTACTAGTGGCCTTGAATATTATACGTGATTCCTTTAGTGATCTAACAAAAATCCGCTTTCTTGGTTAAAACGAGTCCTATAATGAGGATACTCTAGCGCAGAGGACGGTGGTGGTAAGGCGAAAGAGAATAATATATTAGGTAAGCAGCGAGCTACGGTACATGGCGAACAACAACAGATACTTGCAGGTTTCGATGCTAACTCGCAGGTTTAGTTTTGATGTAAGGGTCGGAGAGACGCCGGAGGAATCACCAAAGGCTGTCGGCTTGTAATATTGCCAAAATGAATAGAGAATCTTATTCTGAGAAGGTCAGACTCATAATATATGGGATGATTCTACGTGGAGCCTGTCCAAACTAAGACCACACCGTTTCTTGAACCCAACACACTTTTAATTTCTATCATTAAGTGATGGATGGTAACGTAAAAGTTACATATACCATCTTAACTGCCAAATTGATGGCTTTCTTGTTACGGGCCATTAGTATTTCATAAGTGGCGCGTGCTCCAATTACTTCGGAGTCTCTTATAGTCATGTCAACTTCTTGTTCGACGAGCGCTTCTTTCGCCTTGTTATACAGCGAGGTCGATTCTATGACTTGAGACAGAACTAAAAGGCTAGTCGCATCTTGTACATTGTTACATTTCTCCAGGTGACTGATGATATTCTTCTCGATGATTTCCATTGAGTACTTGTGCGCCAGCGTGAAGAATTTGTACAATCGTGGGTCGTTGTAGATATCTATTAGCTGTGTTGGTATACTACGAGAATTGAAATTGAGCAGGCGACCCATAAATCTGAGGAATGTTATACTCTGGAAACAGAATGCTCAGAAACAGCTCCCATCCCTCCACGCTATCTCCGACCAATAGTAGAGGATTCTCGTCTACTCCAGCGTCATGGGCCGTGTCTCCACTGAGACACATCATGTCCTTGATCACATTTGAATGCTTCGATAAAACATATTTCGAGACCTTGAATATCGCTTGTTCTACCTATCAATGTCGATGGTTCAGGTCGAGATCGATATGCTTGTTCTAGGAGTAATGAGACATATTTGCGTACTTTGATTACAATACTTCCATCGGGGAAGTAGAACTTGTGATGGGGCCGTGGTGCACCCCGTGTGTAATCATTCTCGGGGTGGGTAGAGTCAATTTCTGTCAATTATTAGCATTTTCGCTCGTTATGGACTTTGGAATGCCATTACCTGCCATAAAATCCCGGCCTTGAATGTACGAGGTGTTGTTTAGATCCCAAAAATGATACGGCGAGGGTCAAGTCAGGCTCCACCTTCGACCGCCTTGCATCGCTAAATTAGTATCCACTTCAATTCACATAAGATGCTATCCTGTGTATTTCGATCGCGTCTCGCTTAATAACCTTTTTGTTTGACCCGCATTCAAGTTATTTGACCTACGGTTTAGGATTGAAGGAACAGATTTCAGGCGGCGTTTGGGATATCGGATATCACGATGAGATCATCAAGTTATGCACACCTCCATTACATGCACAAGTATAAACCTCTTGTGTAGTATCTTACCAGCTGTTATAATCTCCGCATTCCTCGCAGTAGTCTCCCGGTCGATCATACGGGCGGCAATTCTCGCATACGTAGGTTTCCTCCTCAATAAGTTCTTTATTTCGTTTGGTCAGTTTTTTATTCCTAACCTTCATTATTTCATAGGTAGCTTCCACTCCTATTTTCTTGGCATCTTCTAATGTGATCTCATCTACGTGATTTATGAGTATTTTTTTCGTCTTGTCGTAGAGTGCGGTCGAATCCACTATTTGAGATATCGCCAGAAGAATAGCCACATCGTGAGTGCTCTTGGACTTTTTCAAGTAGTTCATGATTTGTTTTCCCAAGGAATCTATTGAGTATTTGTGCACGAGCGTAAAGAGTTGTAACAGCCTTGACACTAGGCACGGGGTTAGATTTTGTGCACTCAAAAGTATCGTATAAGTGGCAAGGCACCCCCAGTTATTCTCCCTAAATTTATTTGCTAATCCATTTTTAGTAGTATCAGTAATTCACTTAAATGGGGTGCTAATCAACCACTAACCAGCGACGCGCGATTTTTTAGTACTTAAATTTATCCTCTATTTATTTCTGAGAAGTACCTTTTCTGCGTAGTCTATAACCAAAGGTGCCTCAGTACTAATTCACTGAT